AAAAAAAATGCTTGATTGACTGACGTTTTATAGACCTTCAGTTGTTAGATTTTCAAATTTCATGCCATTTGTAATTTCACAGTATTTTCACCTCCTCAATTACACGTGTGAAGTCACAATTCTATAATGGTACAATTTACTCAGGCCGATGACATTTTTTGTATGACATTTAAAATAATTTTTAGAATAATTGTACATAAACGGGTTAAGCAAAACAATTGTGATTATTTCTGAGAACTTTTTAACTGCAGGCAGACTTAGGCCTACATTATGGTACAGTACAATTTATATTTGGAACGTCCCTTATTCTGTCCCTTATTTTCTTAAAGAATAAACACTTATTTTCTACAAGAATAAACTTTATTTTCTTAAAGAATAAGATGAAGAATCACAATTGTCCCTTATTTTCCATTTCTTATGTTAATTGGCAATGATGACGTAATTATCTTTTGACTCCCCTGACAGTGGAACCTTGCTAAAAAATTAAATTAAAAAAGTCATTGTTGGAGATATGCGAGCAAAAAATAATAGATAAAAAATGCATAATAGAAAGTGCAAAGGCGGCACTGAAAAGGCCAGCAAAAAAACCAAAGTGGGCCGGTCTAAGGCATGAAACTCCAGAGCTGAAAAAGAGTCCCACTCTGGCCCTGCTTCACATACATCAGTTTACAAATGCGATTTTCAAGACTGACTGTTCACACTGCAGACTTTGTTTTGGAAGTGATGAAATTGGATTTTTTGTTTGTTTGTTCAGACAGTCGAAATCTGGTATGCATGATATTACATACACGCCATGTCCTTAATAATGGATAAACGATCTGACTGTTCATAAATACACATTTTAATCACATATTAATGTGGTTTGGATTGGAGCAAAATTTGATGCAGACGGCAAACAACTAAACAGATATGAGTCAGATACATCAATAAATATGACAATAAAGTTGTTAAATGCCTGCAGAGGAGAGATGAATATCAGATATAAAATAAAAACCCTTTCATAAAACACAGTCAAACAAAAGAGGCAGAGAGAGGCAGATGGAGAGGGAATAGCCTTGGGTGCTTTTAAATTTATGGAAATGAAGATGATTATAGTGAACTGAATGTTCTGTTTCATCTTCATGACACACAAACACAATACAACATAACATAACACAAATACATAATTCATGTATCTTTTCCAAGCCTTGACTTCAGGGCGTTACCTCACTAAACAACATAAAAGTCAATATGAGATCAGAACTAAATCTGTCTTTACTACAAGAAGCACAATTCACTGATTTCACTACTGTAAACAGCTTTTCGATGATATTATAACCTGTCGATGTCGTCTACTCGTGAAACTGTTGTGTCGAGATTCATTGATTGACGGATCGATTATCTTCAGCTCGATTAGTCTTTCTCCAGTCAGTCTGGACACTTCTGAATCAGAGCAGAACTGAATAAACACAAGTGATCAGTCCGTGTCCGTTTTCAACCGTTACTAGTCTGCATTTTTCGCGCGCTTCACTTAAACGGCTTTTTGGCGCGTTCCGAGTCAACGGCATTTCTGGGATTCGCGCGCGAGATGCTCGCTAACTCCTCTGGATCCGTATGAAAGAGGAGTCTGTTAATAATGAGAGTTTGAGTCGACAAAAACAAACACTTTTCAGGATTACAAGAAGAAGTTTTCAGTGTTTTACCTGCTGCAGCTGCGATGATTTTATTCCGTTATCCAGAAAGAAAACGAGAAACAGAGAGAGAGAGAGAGAGAGAGAGAGAGAGAGAGAGAGAGAGACGGGCTGAGGTCTATCTGAGGACATGGATCGAACTAAAAGCACTGAAAAGGTTCACATTTTCTTTCTTTTAACTAGTTTAATGCAAAACCCCATATAGTTACTATGGATACTATAGTAAAATCATAATAAATTAATGTTATTTCATTAAACTCTGTGAGAAGCTTTAGCAATTTTTCTGTCAGTTTGTTGAATTTTAAATTTTCCTGACAAGAGATGACAAATATCAATTTAATATTAAGTTCTACCGTAGAAACAGTATTAGGTGTGGTACTGTTAGGTAAACTGTGGTAAATTTTCGACAATCATGCTGGTTTACACTCATCATTCTAATCATTAAATGATTTATTTAGGGCTTTAGTTTAACTCAAAGGAAATAAAATAAACTCTGGAAGACAAAATGAGACGAAGACTCTCGCCGCCTTCACATGAGCGTAATTATCAGTAGAGAAACTCGCTATTTTCTGAGTCGTGACTTTCTAAGTTGGCTGTGTGGCAGCTAATTGCTAATGGTGGAAGCTAATTAGTGCTGATCACAAGTCACCAAGTGCAGTTTAGTTTGTAAGCATGTTGTATACGGTTGAAGAAGCTTGCCAGGAAATGCAACTCATTAGATGGTTTTTCTAAGCTAGCAATCTATAGGCTAATAAATTGCTTTCAACAATTTTTCATACATCAAGAATTCTTGTCTTAACGAAATATATTACAACATTTTGCCGTAAACAGAAAACCGAAGCATAATTTTGGCTTTCGGCAGCATCTCTTTCACTGACTTGATTAATCACAGATGAGTTGATAATGAAATTGATGAGCTCCATCCCTTCCCAGAGTCCTGTGCTGGAGAGATAAGAGACACATCCGCTCAGCTCATCAGGGATGGACAGATAAAGCAATGGAAAGAAAGCATGATGGCTAATTAAATCATTATTCATGGGCCATTTTTGGGCAATTGAATAATTCATTTTTTTTAAATGAATGCAGGGCAGACTGAAAAAGACAAAACTAGGTGAGTAGTAATATTCAAAAAACATTCAGAAACTCAGAGGAAACACACACGTGCTCACACACGTGTTTGTCTTGCTCATTAAAGGATGACTTCCTGCAAAGCTGCTGTGAAATTACATGTATAGTGAAGAGTTTATAAATAATACAGAAGCAGCTCCATTTCAAAAGCCTAGAGAACGGTCAGCATAGGCAGCACACTTCTTAGGAAGCATCATAGTTAAAATGGAAACTCGCATTATTTAGAACACTCTAGATGGGGAATAAGTTTGTATAGTCCTAACAAGCATAAATATACATAAATATGTGGAACAATATTAGTCAAAAATAGAGTAAAAATAGTCATTTTTAACTGAAAGTTGATGCATTTAGGTAGGCTACTGAATTGTATTTGCATGTAATGTTATAAGCAGTCTGGGATTGTCTTGTGAATCATAACGTGCATTGACTGAAATGAGGTAGGATGCATAAAGTTGCTGCTTACATTCTGTTCAGGAGCGTCTAAAATGTTCCCTACATAGGCAACCTACGATGTTTAGAGACAGAGCCATATGCAACTGAATAGATTAAAGAATAAATAATCAGACATAAAGGTGATTTCACGTTTTATTGTGATTAAACAGTATTACATATGTGACACACAGTCTGTAGGCTACATTACAGATATATAGATCTGGACGTGTGTGAATGCATCAGTAATATATAGTCTTGTGTCTGTGTGTGTGTGTGCATTTATTCACAGAGCTGACTGAAGCTTCGGTGACTGTGATAAAGTGTTGATTAGTGTCATGATCTCTATGTGAAAAAGTGCTTTAGACAGACAGAGAGAGAGACAGAGTTCAGTAGGCTGTAAAGTGTGAAGTATGTGCGCGCATCACCCTGCCTCAGGTGCATGTACGTCTAAATGCGCGTGGGCGTGCATGTGAGCGTGCTGTGTGTGTGTAGCGTCTGGCAGCGACGGCGTCTCCAGCGCTCCTTCTGATGGATACAGCTGCAGCAGCACCCCCTCCTGGCTGCTCTCTTTACTGCACGACTGGCAGCTGCAGTGAAGGATGCGCTCCACTAGCTTATCCACACGCGGGGCTTCATCGCTGCCGGCGCAGTCCAGAGTCACCTGTAAACACACGCACACAGTCAGTTTGCAGCAATATAGAAACCAGAGGACATTCATTTCGGTGAAAGTTGTAGATTTGAGATTTGCCATATGAGCTTCAGCGAGTGTTGCTGCTGCAGCGATGCATTATGCAAAAGCGCAGCGGTGCGATGCAACCAAAGAGGTCATACCTGGGCCGTAATGCTTCTTGAAACCTTGCATACTGCAAAGACTGTGACAAAATGCTTGTGGGATGCAACACTAGCTGCGTTTCCATTACCCTTCGAATTGCGCAAATTTAAATTGTGAAATGAAAATACGCCCAATGCAAACACGTCAATTTTGCAGAAACTCCCATATATCGCAAAAACGTTCTTACTCTCACATGAGGTGGTTTTTCAGGCAATTCGAAAAAGGAATATTTTACGCGGCAGTGCGGTGGCTGCTATATACATAAACCTACCAACATCCGTTGCCATGACTTATCGCTAGGGATGTAACGATTCACTCAACTCATGATTCGATTCTATTCACGATTTTGATTTCACGATTCGATTCGACTCACGATTTTTTTTTTTTT